TAACAATGACTGTAGCACAAGAAAATGCAATCCAAAATTTCGACATCCAGATAACGAAATACATCGCTCCATCCATTGTCATGTCTGACCCGCAAACGTATCCACGAAGATTATACTCTCTCATTATTATAGGTTTTCTTTTGAAGTAAATTAATTTTGGGAGGTTGAAAATCAGTGTAACGAAAAATGCAAGACCAACTGCTATATTTTTATCTCTGAAAGTTAGATTCGGCCGGAAGGGTTTACAGATTTTGATGTATCTATGAACACATATTATCACCAGAAGTAGCAAGGACAAACAAAAGAACACGTTTGTACCGTACAAAAGTATTTTGCACAATGCATCATCAGGAAAAATAACTGGATTCGAGTTCTTCGCAAAAACAAGATTTGATGAGAACAAGCAGTGGAACAAATCTGCCACAGCTAACATGATGATGTAATAACGGTCTCCTCGCCTCTTCTTTTTCAATTTTGACTTGTAAATGTAAATAACAAATGCATTTCCAACAATGCCAAAGAGTAGAAAAATGGCGTTGAAGACGGTATTGATCAAATATCGGTCTCTGAAGAATAGATTGAACTCTTCCAAAGATCTGTTAGATACATGGGTGCCTAAAACCTCAGCCATAATCTTTTAAACACCATAAGTAGCTTGCTGCTGACAACGACTAAACAGGGCGACAGTAACTGGGTTTGTTATAACCGAAAGCGGAAGAGAGACAGGAAGGTGTAGAAGAGAGAAACTTTTATATCGAGAAATGATGACTTGCATCCTCTGCGTATACGTGATGTATAATGTCGGGCTGTAAAAAGTACACATGCATAATGCTTGTTTTGAATATTAAGTAACAAGGAGTGATTCTCTTCCAGATTTCTTAACGGAAAATCAGCATAGTGTTTTGGAATAGTGTCTGGCATTGTGTAATCTGTGGAATGATCGGAAAACCCTCTAGTGCATAGAAAAGGTTATTTAAAACGCGCACAATACGTTTCTTCTTCGTTTTTTTCAGCGGTTGCTGGTGTTGATATGTAGAAAATGGAGAACACGACAGACTCTATATTTGACAACATCTTGCCTGGAACTGGGGATCACCACGGGAAAATGAGCAGAAAATTTCTACACATGTTTCAGTATGATACGGTAACACAAGGAATATTCTTTGTCTTAGGAGTCCTTGGAAACACTATTGTCATTTTTATGTACAGTTTTAAGATAACCAGAGGCAGAGACGACAGATACTATATATTAGCGTTAGCATATGTGGACTTCTTACTTTGTATTTTCTGCTCAAGTTTGATATTCACTAAAAATTTACATCCTTTAAATTTTCCAAGCAATGCCTCATGTAAAATACTGTTGTTCCTTACGAGCACGTTCTTTACCTTGGGCCTATTAGTGTTGATTGTGATATGCGTACATAGATACCGACATATATGTTTGTCTATGTCTGACACAATGACAACAAAAACCAAACACACTGTCATTGGAATCTCAACCGGTGTCTCTGTGGTCTTCTCTTCACCGAAATTAATCTATTACAAAGTTATTCGTATTAGCTTCCCTGACAACATTACTGGCCACGTTTGCAGCTCTGACATGTCTATGCTAGGGTCATATGTATTTGTATCCGGTGTTACAGTTTTTTTGATCGTGTCGTCCGTCATAGGTATTATTACAATGATGGTTCTATATTATCGGGTGGCACGAATCATTTTCAAACAGCTTAGGCAGTTCAAAGGCATGCGAGTACAGAAAGTACGGTTTAGGAATTTGTATGGGAATCTAAGAGCTAGTATCATCAATGCCTTTGAAAGAGAAAATTCAAATATTTCTAGGAGACCGAGCAGTGAAACGCCTGTGATACATGTGGATATACCTGAAGAAAACCACCAGCAATTACCAGAGCCAGTAGACATACCTACGTGTGAGGGGATACCAAAATGTGACCAGGGGACCTTAAGAAAGAAGTATAGCAGAAATCGAAATAAAAATAAAACAAAATCGCTCGCAGTTTATCTCAGTGCCAATAGAAAGGCCAAACGCTCAACATTAATGTTTATTGCCATTACCATAGTAACAGTCTTTTCGTATATACCGACATGGACTTTTATATTCTTGGATACCAGAGATCCATCAAGGTGGTTCCACATGTCTTCCGAGAAATTTCACTTCTTCTTGTTTGTACGATCACTAGGTTCTTTAGGATATGTAACCCATCCATGGCTATATGCTTATTATGATAAATGTTTTCAAACAGAAATGAAGAAAATTTTATGTAGAAAAAGAGCGCACGCAGTATAAGCTGGATGTGATTTTATAAAATTCATTAATTGTAACTCAGGCAGTCATTGTCTTTCATATCCATACATATGTATAACCAATGTGACAAAAACATTTAGATCTCACGAGTATATTTCCAAAACCTTTTCCTACACAATTTTGGTAATAACAAATGACAATATTTGCAGTGCATCGCACAGCAGATTTCCTCACAATTCCCAAAGAACGACATTTATTTTCCTTTTTGCTAAAATCATGAAAAGGTGAAAAAATTATTTTTCATGATCCTTACTAAATTTGTATGTATCACATCTAAAAAAGTAAGACATGACAATTCAATGCTAAGAAAAAAAAATCTATTAAGATTCTGAAAAATAAAGAAGTACACAGGTTTTGTTCCTTTTTTTTAATTTACAACAATTTATCAGTAAACACTATCATAAAAATATATCACAATGAATCATTATACACACCATGCTGAATAAATAAGATGTCCACCACGTTTACGCGGAGAAAGCGGAAGTATTGCGTGCGTACAAAAAAACCCACCGCGCATTGATATTTTTCCAGTAAACAATCATAATACTTCTATTTTGTTTCCTTCAAAAAGGACTGCAATAGTTAGACCATAGGCATGTATTTCTAACGGAAACAAGATGTGTTTTTGAAACACTGGTACCCCCGTATGGCAACTTATAGCGAAGATTAAACTTTTTAAAATGCAAATCAAATACAATGTATGGTGGTACCCAAAGTAAGTTCTTGTCTCGAGGAATATACCTGTGAAATATGAAAGCCCCAACAGCAACCATTTAATAGATATGGAGAAGGTTGAAGTTTTTCAAAAGGAAGTCAAACATCAAGGTCAAGGTCAAATGATCAAAATTAATGGTGCCCAAGGAAAGGCCTACTCACAAGAAATACACATGTGAAATATGAAAGCCCTAGCACCAACCGTTCACCAAAGATGTACACTATTCTGTATACTATTATCTGTATATTCTGGGGCAATGAAAACCTATCATTTGAGTTAAACAATGGCATTTTTGTCGCTGTTCATAAGTTCATACTTGAAATCCTGTAGGTTTAAATAGCTATAATAACAACTATATTATTTTTGTATGTTTTGTGATATCATTTTGCATGACAATTAATATGTTTTATATGAAGAAGAGAACCTAGTAAGTTGAAAGAAATTGTTTCTGTTCATTTTGATTGTCAATAAAGTATGTTCAAAACAAAAAAAAAATGAAACAAGATGTGTTTGTGAAACACTGATGCCCCTTATGGCAACTTATAGCAAAGGTTAAACTTTCTCAAATGCATATGGTATCCAAAGTAAGGTCTTGTCTCGAGGAATATACCTGTGAAATATGAAAGCCCTAGCAGCAACCATTGAATAGATATAGAAAAGGTTAAAGTTTTACAAAAGTAAGTCAAACATCAAGGTCAAATGGTCAAAATTAATGGTGCCTAAGGAAAGGCCTTCTCACAAGAAATATACCGGTGAAATAAGAAAACTGAAGCACCAATCGTTCAAAAGTTATGACCAAGGTTTAAGTTTTTCAAAAGTAGGTCAAACTCCAAGGTCAAGGTTAATGGATTACAACTGTTGGTATCCAAACGAAGGTCTTGTCACAAGGATTACATATATGAAGTATGAAAAACCTAGCACCAACTGTTCAAAACTTTTGCTATAGGTTATAGCATGTTACATTAAGATTACGTACATCGATAACTATTGTACATGTATATACCCGTATTAACTATAATCTTCGATTATTAGAATGTAGCATACTTATCAAATTTTTCAAAGTGGCGAGCCACAGAAATCCATATATTTAGCACCAAAAACAGCAAAAAAGAAACACAAACGAAGTTTGTCTTTCATATGAAGCATATACATGTACAATACATGAATGTTATTAAAATTATCCTGAACAGGGCCTGATGATACAATCTAGCAAAAAAATTAATTTAGCAATTAAAGATGAAAACCTCTCTTCGTATTTATGAATCATCAAATAGGTCCGATAATTCGGGACTCTTGTCAGGCTCGGCAAGGCTCCTTATTCTGTGTTCTTCCAAAGACTTAGAGTCGTGGCGGATCAGGGTTTTCAGGGCGGGCATCAACAATTTTACCACATCCTGGTTAGATTTTTGCATGCGACAAAGGACGTAATGGATTGGACTTTTCCCTTCATTATCGTGTAATAATACATTTGCCCCATTGCGTATAAGAAGTCTAAATATTTCATTTATCCATTTTGCATCGAAGAAGTATGCTGTCATATGGCACACGGTCATGCCACGGTTCTCCCGCGCATTTATATCAATCCCAGCATCCAACAACAAACTGATCACTCTGAGACCTTGAATATCTTGAAACCTTTTCTCTATTGCAAGAGTCAATCCCCTTTTAGGTTTTTTACTTTCCGATGACAGAGAGAAGAAGGAGTGTAGAGCGTTACAGCCTTCGTTGGTGGTTAGGTTTACATCACAGCCATACTGAATTAAACACTGCACACTCGCAGCATTATCAGCGGATAGATGTAGACAGGTCTCACCTTTTCTGTTTTGCAAGTTTATGTCTATTCCTTTTGAGATTATCTCTTCTAAGCCGTTTTGGTGCCTTCTCATCGACAAAAGATGTGCGGGAGTGTTGCCATCTTTGTCCTGCCTATTCAAATCACAATCAAATGACAAAAGTAACCGCAAGATATCCAACCTGTTAAAAGGTTTCTTTACCGTCTCCGAGAGATTTGATGGTGAACATAATTTGTGCAACAATGTCTGTCCGGTATCGTCTGCCTCATCTGCAGCTACACCGCTACTCATCAAAAGTTCAAGTGACTTCAAACAACAATCTTCTATACGCACATATTTAAACAAGGTATGTTCCTTTCGAAGGTTCAATCCATTTCGCAATAGTAGTCGAAGCTGCGTGGATCCACAGATTTCCTTGTCTGAGGTTATAAACGTAAATCGTTTATACAGATTGTCGTAGCTCAATGTCTTCTGTACCTTTTTATTATCGTTGATCAAAACAGTTAAAAGTGGAGACTGTTTCTTATTTGCTCCAATCCATTTGTTGACGTCTGCTCCTTTATCACATAGGAACTGCAACAATTTTTGACGAGAGACAGAGGATTTCAAGGCGCCAATCAAAAGTGTTGTACCATTAATTTCTGTGTCCATGTCAAAGTTAACTGGTAGAAGCACTGGTATGACGGAATTTATAATTGTATCATCATCCATATCAGATTCCAGGTAGTTCATCAACAAATTCAATTGTCTATTTCCGGTCACCTCAGAATGATGGTTTAACATAAGGATCAAAACATCTATGTCTTGACTTATCATCGAAGCCACATCACGAAATCTTATAATAGAACTTTGTCGATAATTAAAGAAGTGAAGGACATGTGCCAGTATTCCAAAGAAAAGGGCTGATACAAATTCCGACTTATCCAAAGATTTACACCAATGATCTAAGGAAGAACAAACTAATTTTAACCCTTCCTGTTGAGTATCACTTAAAACAGCAACGACTGTCTTCAGGATTCTTTCCTTTGTGTTTACTTGAAGACTGGAAACAGATTTAAGAGTCCCCAGTACTGTCTGGTCAGTAGCCTCATGGTTCTCAATCAGTTTTACGAAACATGAATATTCCTCACAACGTGCGCATTGGCTACTGGCAAACAGGTCTTTCCAACGCAAGAAAGCAAATTCTCTCAATGCTTGCATCACACTCCATGAATGATTACTATTTTCATGTTTTGAACATATAGTCAAAATTGTTAAGAATTCCGACATTCCGAATGCTGCTTTGTGGTGCAAAAATTTTTCAACTATCTGTAAACATCGTCTCGAGCGTGTCTTTGAAAGCAAATTGAACGCTGTGCACCTCTCTTCATTACGTTTGTTTAAATCTATGTTGTATAACAAAAGAAGATCTAATGCACTATTCATCAGTGTAAACTTGCTTTCTTCGTTCAGTTTCTCGTAAGACGTTAACTTTTCGTCATAGTAATTAAGCCTGTCAACGAAGCTTTTCATCACCAAATGCAGGATCGTGTCACCATCTTTATTTTGTGCGTTGACACCCGCGCCTGAGCGGAGCAGATATTGTAGATGTTCTAGCATTATAGGTCTCCATTGCTTTTTCTTTGATTTAGTATACACAAAGCTAACAGCAAGATGAATTGGCGCAAAACCCGCCATATTTTTTGTATTTATTTCACATTTCTTCTCTAGGATAAGCTCAAAGACAGACATAGGCACATTCGCTAACATACATATATGTAGCACATTGTTACCTTGTTTATCACATAAACTGAAGTCTATGGTTTCCCTAATAATCATCTTCAGCAACTGTTGTTCGTCTTTCCTTACTTCCTTGTGTTTTCTAACATTCCAAGAACTAACAATCTGCATGAGTAAATTTTGGCCTTTGCTGCAAGTTTCTTTCATTGAAATTCCATATTTCAAAAATGTTTCAAAGAGTGAACAAGAAAGAGTGCCATTTATTCCATGGTGCATTAAAGGATTTCTGTTGGATATGCTCTCTCTAGAATTAACCGATGCGCCATTTTCTAGTAGTTTCGTGAGGATAGCATGGTCGTTTACAAGGAATAGGGCAGTCAGACCTTCCGTATCGCTAATATTAACATTAGCTCCTTGAGCTATGAGAAACTCTAGTACATCTTTATTCAAAGTATTCTGAAAAATATCTAGAGATAATTCAGAGATATCCACAGTGGTTAAATTTTGTGTCAGTTTTGAAGCAACTTCCACACTCTTAACGTAAGGTAGACCTCTGCGATAGATTTGTTCGAGTTCTTTTTGTTCTAAATGTGAGACGATTTCTAGGAAAACTGGTGAATCGATTTGTTCGAAAATTGCCCTAATATCTTCCTCATTTAAGGATTTCAATGATAAGCAAAGGACGTCAGCATTGGCGTATTCTTTAACAAATGTAAAGTCACCGTTTTTTAAAGCACAAAGAATATCTTCTCGGTCAAGACTTAAATTCGTCAGTATCAAAAATGCTTCAACTATGTCTTGTCTTTGCAATTTCATAGCCATTGAAATAGATGACTTAAGAATATCAGCCTGTTTTACAAATGGCAAAAGGTATTTCACGATGTCCAAAGCTGCTGATCCAATGCTTAATGTAGCCGCTTGTAGTGGTGACAGTTTTAAAGACACTTCAGAGAAGATCTGTGAATACAATGGTTCTTTTAAGATGTTTAGAATATCTTGAGTAAATACTGTTGTGCCTTGAGAAACTTTGTCATCAACCAATCTTCCTATATGCCGAGCCAAGACAACGTCTGTTCCGTGGAGAATTGTGAAAATGAAACACTCTCTCAGTTGCTTTTGCATCCAATCTCTTTCCTCTTCAAGTAACAACTGCATTCCATCCATCTGAAGGAGAGTTTGAGTAAGATACGTGGTGTTAGCCACAGAGGACCAATACAAAAGAGACCCAAAGAATTTGTGTATAGTGTCAAACTGAACATATGACAGCAGATCTGCTTCAGCTTGAGCTCTTGTTCCCTTAAAACTTTTACCTAAAGTGGATCCTTTGCAAATGACGGAGACAAATTCTTGATCAGTCATTGCTTGATGGAAACACACATCTCGAATATTGCCATGCTTTATTTCTTCCACTAGTCTTTGAGCAATAATTGGAAAGTGTTGACGCTGGACTGATATGATTTTTTCATTGTTCTGGCATTTATACTGAGATGTTCTAATTCTAGCAGAAATGAAATCAAACGAACAAACGTCGATGATATCAGATGTAGACTCTTCACCCATCATGAACGTCACAGCATCTTGAATACTAGGATGACGAAAGATCCTACTGTTATCACTGTCTGATAGGAACAAACTCAGCTCTTCAGATTTACAAGACAAGAGATGGGCAAGGTCGAGATCCAATTCTACACCAACCATCTTCCTGATGAATTCCATTCTTAATCCATCTTGATTAGGAAATTTTCTTGCATATCTATTTATTTTGCCATCTCTCAATGCAATATAGACTAGCACTGCAAATTCCAGTGGTTTCGCTATCTTCATTACGTTCAAGTTCTGCATTAAGTATTCTATAGGCGATCTAAAAAAGTCTACTCCTCTTTTTCTCAGTGCTGGAGATTGAGCAAACATTTGAACACAATGCGGAAAGCCATGGTTTGGAGATAATACAATCGCTTGTTCAAAAAATGACTCTTCTCTCTTTAAGTTCAAAAACTGGAAATGTTTTCGCATTATTTGCATTTTTTCTCTGTCATTCAAATGATCTGCGAGATCGGTGGTTACTTTAGAGACAAAGTCGGGGTTCTTTAAAACCTTCATAGCTTCTTGGAGAATGTGTGCACGTGATGTCATGATCATCAATACGTCACCGCATTTATCCATGAGAATATTGTCTAGCTGCCACAAAATTCTCTGAATATCCTCAGTTCGAGATCGGTCAAAGACAGTCACTCCAAAAATATCATCGAAGAACAAAAGTATTTTTTCATCAAACTTAACTGAGTCGAAATCTGTCGATCCATTCAAAAGAACAAAACGGAAGCCTTGTCTACATTTCTTTACTATGATATGCTTAGCTATCGCTGACTTTCCATCACCTGGTCGACCTGTTAACATGACCCGGAAGTAATTTTCTAGTATTTCCTCGGCCTCCTGAAAGGCGCACGTTTCCACAAAAACTTTGTCCTCTTGTTTGAATACACTTAAAAGCGAGGAGAATTTTCCTGAAAAATTACAACTTGCAATTAGAGACTTTTTAACACCCCCTCTTTAAAAAGTGCAGAACTTGATATTATTAGAAGTGAACAAACCTTCCCTTGAATTTGATGCTGGCTCTTCTTTCTCTGGTTGGTTTAAATAAACCAATGAGTCTTGAATGACGTTGGTTGCAGAATGAATTACCACGGGAGAATGGGGTCTGATGCCATCTGGAATTAAAATTGAAATTTACATCTTTTTTTTTGGTAAGTGAGGTAAAGCGATCAGCTAAAGGAAACACAAAGATACCATTAGGTGAATTCAATATTGCGTTTGTTATACCGTAGTTATGACGTAGGAAGTCTTTATGAATCATGTCTTCGTTGAGCCCCATTACGTCCAGCTGCTGGATGACTTCACCTTCCTCTGTAATTAAGTCACCTTTATTATAATTATATCAATTATTCTGGTATGCATGGGTTGTCCAAGAAAATAAAGCGAACTTAATATTTCATAACCTACCAGACCAAAATTATTCATGTTTTGCACAATGTTGGGAAATGATATTTTGGTCATTTTGACAAAATATATATCACAAGATTTTATTGTCATATGAACATAAAAAACATATAAAGGTGTTTTAAAATATCGGCGATTGGCGCACTGCAACTTTTTTTCTTTTGAAAATAGCATTGCTAGAGTCCCCCCCCCCCCCCCCATATTGCCAGATTATACAGAAAAATAATGTGACAAAATTTACTCCCATAACAATTCAATTATCTGGCTGAGTACTAATGTGTAAGATTTATTTAAAATGATATCATAAATGAGAAAAATATGACGTTATTCGTTAGATATTGACAAAAATGGCGACGTCGGCGGAGCACCGAACTATTATCACGCTGTACTGAGTGGTTATGACTCCTGTCCATCGGGAAAAGAGATGGAATGAAATATACACGTCTCGGACACTGGTTTATACCTGGCAAAAGAGAATCAAGGATGGATGGACTCTGTCGATGGAAGGGAAATTTGGTTGACCAACAAAACTGACGAAAAACTGAAAAGTCAGGAGCTTAATTTTGCGAGAAGTTAGGTTTATGATCGGAATGGGAAATAAATGTAAAATAATTCCGCAACGTTTAGTGACTCTAGTATGTGTGAGACGAAAAGGGTGAACAAACAACAGTGATCGATCTCAAAAAATCTGTAAACAATACAATTCTGTGAAGAGGGCATAAAACACGGACCCCTGGAAATTCCAGAGGTGGGATTAGGTGCCTGATAACTCGGGATCAGGGGACTGATAACTCGGTAACTAACAGACAATCAAATGCAGTGTTTGAAATGAATTCGTGAAGACGCACGATTCCTGAATAAATTCACAAACCGTTTAACGCCGTAAGCTACGTCAGTGTTGCGCCAACAGCTATTTTGTAAGATTCATTTAACTGAGAGAAAAATATTATTTATGGAGAAATTTTCTTGAAATTTCTATGTATTAGTATTCAAAAAATGTTGATTCTGGTGCATGCCAATTTTTAACTTTATAGAATTAGTAAAACAAAAAATATTGAAATGTTCGCGTTTTTCTGAGACAACCCTCGTATTATTTCATTACATCTTGCATCTTAATATATGAAAATTTTGTTTAATTTTGCTATCTATTGCGATGCTGTTCGCCTTTCCTTTATTTAACCTTTTCCTCTTTTTATTTTTCCTCTATATGTAACTTCAGTTTATTACCCATAGTATTTTATATGTTCTTTATAATATACAATCTCAAAAAAAAAAAAAATAAAAATAAAAAAAAAAATAAAAAATAAATAAATAAATAAATAAACCATAACATTTATGGTTCCTACAACATTTTTTTCAAAGTTTCTTTAAATAAAACTCTTACATTGTTTTAAATGCATTAAATAATGCTTTCCACTTTTAGCACAGTACTCACTTTGTCCGTCTGACACGAGGACCACACCCCTTTGCCTGGTGGCTCCGCTCCAGTCCACATCGTATGTCTCCGATATCTGATTCTTCACTCCATCATCTAAAGACACTGACCTACTGGTACACGGCGGGACAGACATTAAATTGCTCTTACAGATATCAATGGAACCCAGTCGATGTTTCGGCGTGGCGTTCTCTTTCTCTGTTTTCCTTCGTAAGTCATTAGCTGAATACGATCCTCTCCGATTCTGGTTGCTTTGCTTTGGATGATCCCAGTCTGCAAAGACGTCGAGGCTTTCGTCAGACGCTGCATTGTCCAAGACAATGGGAGGCAAATCCGGTTGCCAGTTGCTTGGTGAACCGTGGGGTGTCACAAAGTTGTCATCGGGTTCGGAGTCGGACTCGGACATACTTTAGTTGTTGAGGGTATTCTTTTCGCGAGTCTCTGGATGTTTATATATGCATGCATGATATATCTACAATGAATAACTTTGATTTACCATATCATTACAATATGCAAAAAACTGATTTCTCTCAGATTACGTCAACCAAAACAGTTCTAAAATATTTCATCACTGGATTTTCCATCAAGGCAGTTAACTACGTGGTTTCGGGATTTTCTCCCCAACCACAACGGTCACACTTCATAATTCCCTGACGTCCTACATGACAGTTCGTGTATGTCCCTTAAACTTTCTGTCTCATTGATTCGGATGAATACTTCACTTAGCATGAATGTGGTTTTCACGTCCTAATTCTAGCTAGCAACAAGGAAGAAAACATGGATTGTTTATTTTAATTTTAGTTGATGGACACTTTTAATTTTTCTCGAATCAGAAGACCGTAAGAGGGTATATTGCATGAAATGACTGTGAGTCCTTGTCAATGTAATTATATGTACTTGAATCATAACAAGTGTTAAAAAAATATGACAAATTTTCACAATTATTTATATATCCGAACTTGCTGCTATCTAGACTTCACAAGGAAGTATCTATAGCCACCCCCTCCTGGAATATTCAGAGTTCTTCAATTTCTGTGTAAAAGTAAAGGAAAAATGTCCTTGGACCCCTAGGAAACCAAATCCCTCTTGAAATGGCTAAGAGAGTCATGTATCTGAAGAAAATTGACTTATGAAAGTATCCCCCCCCCCGCATACACACGAAATACGTTTTTCAGGTTTGGGCACTTGTTTACGTTTTTTTTTGGGGGGGGAGCTTTTTAAAAAATTTCCGACCCTGATATTTGTTAGGGTTGATGTGAAAAATCCTGAATCCGCCCCTGCTTTAGTAATGAATGTATTCATTAGAATCGCACCTGGACTACTAAGTATTCCGTTTTTTAAGTGATCATAATACATGACGGTTTCAAATTACACGGCAGATAAGCATTATAACATGGACTTCTAATGCAGTACAGTGTTTGGTATGTTGATCTATTAATGACGTCAAAAGCTGTTCTAATTTTACATCTGATTCAAAGTCCGACTGTATGGAGATCCAGACTGGTATATCAATGGATGATCAAGGCCGGAGGGAATATTTTCATCTTGTTAAACTTTGTCGATTATTACTAGCGTAACAAACGTGTATATATATATGTCGAAATCGGTCAAAATTTTGATTTACTTTAATAATCAATTCACATTTTTAACTGTACACTATGAAAAGCATCGTTGAGTTCTTGTCATATTTTTTTTATCATAGAGTTATTTAGACGTTTGTGCATGGACATGCATGTGATCACTGAAACTGAATTTCAATTTAATTCACAAAACCAGTCAGTCTTGCGTACTCAAATTCTGCGTGTCGTTGTGGAGTTAAACATGGAAGTCTCTGTCTCTAAAAGTAATTTATAAACTCCCTCAGGCGCGGATCCAGGATTTTTTTTTTCAAAAGTGGGGAGAGGTTTTTCACATCAACTCTAACAGATGTCAGATCCAGAAATTTGTTGACAAGCAAAATAAAAAAGAAAAAAAAATACCCAAACCAACTAAAATATCGAAAACAAAAAAATATTATCAACTTCCCCCAACCTGAAAAAAAAAAATCATTCTTCGTGGTGGTAGTGGTTTGGGGGGGGGGGGGGGAGGTGGATCTCTTAGGGGCGAGAGAGAAGACACTTTCCTTAGTCTAAATTCTTTTTTCTTCATATACATGACTCTTTGTACAATTTTAAAAGGGGTCCTTCTTTCAAGGGGGGGGGGAGGGAGGGTTCCAAGCTAATTTCCTTGTTTTTATTTGTTTGTTGTTTATCGTCCATCTTGAGAATTTTTCACTCATATGGAGACGCCACCACTTGCCGGTGGAGAGCTGTATTTTGACCTATACTCGGCACTCAAGGCCATTGAGCAGTAAGGGATCTTTTTCGTGCCAGCATCTACTGCGACACGAGACCTCGGTTTATACGGTCTCATCCGAAGGACCGGTCTCCACGTCCCACGGTGAGATTCGAACCCGCGACGTAGGATCAACTCCTTACTCCGCGACTCTAGAGCAGACGCTCTACCACTGCACCACGAGGGCGACTATTTACATTATACTCGATCTGGAAGTTTAGTATAATATTATTTTTGGTAAACTATTTCACTATCACACACTAAATAACAAAAAAACTTATTATACTGTTGATATTTACTTTGAATTTCACAAACTCATAAAACTTTATACTAGTATTTACGAAACAAACAGTTATCAAAGCAGTTGTTTTATATGATTTAGTAAATCCTCAGAGGTCTTTTTTCAGTTTTATTTAAGAACTTACGATTAAGACGAAAAATGACATTTTGCAAATAACTATGTTTTTAGAAATAAATTTGGAAATCTTTTTCATCTTTTTAAAGAGAATTTTGGAAGATATATATACCTTTTTAACTTTGGGGACCTCCCCTCTTAGATCCGCGCACGCCCCTCACTTCTAAACGTTCATCGTGTACATGAAAGCAAAATAACTGTCCATAGTTCTCTTGATAAATGTTCTCTAAAATTGAACGCGAGTGTGTCTATGTGTGTGTAAAAAGCATGCAGTGTATTAGTGTAATTAGAGAGAGAGAGAGAGTGAGAGAGAGAGATTTAACTTCTAGTACAAAGTGATTCACTAAATGTGGGTCCATTCTATAATACGTACCTAAATTGCGTCTGCGTCCATTCTAACTTTCTTACTTCTACCAATTTTTTTTAAATCCTTAAGCAAGAGATTCTTTATCTTTGTCACCCACAGGTAAGTATTCCACATCAGTGAGTGTGGTTATCAAACGTGTGTATTATAGGTCATGGAATTCCGCTTATTTGCTATGAAAAGCCAGTCTCAATTCAGAGTTATCTTTCTTTAATTAGTATCGTCCTTTTGACAATTTTTTTTTTTACCATTTTCTGCAATGACTTTGCAATATTTCAAGAAACTTCATATGGAACAAATTAATGAATGTAACATATAGGTAATCTGTATTCCTTGCAATTAATTCACATGAACTACATACATCTCTTACCTGATTAATCTTCTTGCTTCCGTCGATCCGAAAATGGTCAAAGAAGTTCCACTTGTCTAACCTCTTAAAATCAGTAAAAGTATACTTATCTGTATAAATTCCACTGAAGGGAGTATGGATGTTGCCAAAAGTAGCAGAAAAAATTGTTATAGTGTGTGAATCATTACATCTCAGAGCAACACTAACCACTAACAGGAAAATCGGAATGGCCGAGATACACAATTGGTAAATATGTTATATAAACTATATTGACAGTACTTACATGAGCAGATTCTTTATCTTTATTACTCACAGGTAAATATTCCACATCATTGATAAATTAACATAGTACCTGACCTTTCATTAAAACGCCCCAGTAAATCATACAATAATAAAAAAAAAATACAAAAATTCTATACAATTTTCACAATTTTTTTAACTTGACATTCACAACTTCCTGTTGGCGACCAGTTCTTGTGCACTTTCTTTCTGCTTTGGGTATGATAAAAATCACGTGTTCATCTGAATCAAACCACACACCCCTTTCAAGTTTTCTCGCAAATATGGGTAGCGGATGAGCAATAATGACAAAATTTCAATAATTTTTCTCAGTAATTTTTATACATTTCACAGGTACGATGTCTTTTCGGCACTCATTTTCAGTTTATGACGTTACTTTTCGGCACTCATTTTCAGTTTATGACGTTACTTTTCGGCACTCATTTTCGGTTTATCCTATTAAACCTCTCGCGTGCTTCTTTTTAATAATCTTTGCTGCCATTTTGCTATAAACCTTCTTCTTTTGAGCTGTACTTTCATTTATAATTATTTTAACTTTGTCCTAATGTTATATCTAAATTCATTCATTTCTGCGTAAGTCTTATTTGTATCATAAGTTTCAAAATTAGTGTCCAAGACAAATGCCATAATGACTTAATATTTCCGTGCGGCGATAGACGAGACCCAACGTAGGTTAATGTAATAGTATATGACGTTTTGTTGAAAACTTTCGATTTAAGATTTTACAGCAGTTGTGACATTTCTTTTAAATCAACCTTCATATATAATTAAGTTAAGAATTATTGCTTGAATAAAATAAAACAACATAAATTTCCATATCCTCAATCGGCGTATAGCAGATGACAACTTCTCCGTGTTTGATGACTAGGTTTTCACAAATCAACCCGCATAAGAAAAATATTTTGGCAGATCTAAATCGAAATCGTTGAAAAATCTCAACTCCGGATAGACCTTCCCAAGGATTACTCTTATCCAGAACTTCCAATGGATTACTCCTATCCAGAACTTCCAATGGATTACTCTTATCCAGAACTTCCAATGGATTACTCCTATCCAGAATAGTTCGTCTATGAATCCTCATTATATTCCAAAGAAGCATTCTGGTAACTATTTTGGATTTTGAGTTGAGATACCTGAGACAGACAAATCTGGAACGAAATAAATTTCTACTTCTTTTAATTACAGTGTTACTTGAGACCTTAAAGTATCCATAGTTTATTTTTTGGTCTTAAAGCTAATATGAAATGAATCTTAGCCTCTCTTTGCACCAAGTCATTATCGGTATTTAATTTAAGGATGGGTCATACATCAATCACAATACGTTGTTACGTTACAATAATTACGCCATAAGGTACACAGGAAACAAACACGCACTGATATACGTTAAGAGATAATGACAAAAGAGACCGTCCTGCCGTAGGCCGTCAAAAGAACAATAAAATTAATCTACAATGTGTTTTTCCGACAAATTGAAATCGGAAGATTATATCAGATTGTGTTTCTGAATTGATTTACACCAGCGGGTGTCCAGAATGTGTGTTTTATAAAATCTTTACACCTCTTAGAGACGTACGTTCTTTGATCGTTAATCCATATTTGTATCGCCCCTTGATTATCCAGAGGGTTGTACATGCTTTTATCTTGAAGTGTTCCTATAATAAACCTAATATTTCAAAATGTTAGGT